GATGGAAAATGGCAATTACATTTGCCCATCCTGATCGATTTTAACCTTCCATTCCTTCATCTCGTCGTTGAAAGCTTGCACTTTTTAAGTGCTTTGCAACCACTGTCGAAACTGGGCCAGAGTCAGCTCGAGACTAGTAACGTTTTAGACGACGTTGATTCTTCGTAGCATCGGAACATTGAAAGATTTGGTGAAATGCTTGCGAGAAATTAGTCGCAACTCTGCCTGCGGAATTCTCTTTCCGACGTTTACTCGCTCTTATTATCGATCACCTTCGTATTCGTTATGTGTGGAAAGAAGCGATATTTTCCAAACTCACGAATGTCAAATGGCAAGTGTTGGAGTGTTGCTCCGTTACGATTCGAACGAGCGAACTTTGACGCGTTCCTGCGACGATAATAATTGCCTTTTATCTCGAATAAAAACAGAACCGTGGAATAATCTACGAGCGTGACGACGAATTAGTAATAAAATAGGAAGGAAGACTTTGTGGAATTTCTTATCTGGAGAACGTCTTTCGGTCGGAGGAGCAAACAAAGAAAGGCAGAGACAACAGCAACAAAAGCGGTTAGTACGACACGTTATCGGAATATTAATATTCCGTCCCTTTACCTCCCTTTTTCTCTCTTCTTGGCTACGAAAAAGCCGTCGCGCCATCTTGGCGTGACAATCGATCGTCCAAGGTGGAAACGTGGAACGAGAAAAATCGGCATGTCGCTTGCAAGCGATGTCTCCTGATCCACGCCCGTGATAATTCTCCCAGACATCTTCGCTTCGGCTAGGCTTCAGTTGGCTCGAACATTTTCAACTCAAGTGTGCGTGTACATATGCGTCTACGTCAAACTGGTTTCCTTCCGTTTAAAATTCACAATTAACAACTTACAATCATCGTCGTATCCCCGATGTAAGTATCGTCTATGTGTCCATTTATTACTCGCCACATCAATTTCCAGCAATGTTACTCGTAGTCTGAGCAACTTACAGTTTTTATCTAGTCTGAATTCATAATTTCACAATTGCAGGGCAGAGCTTGCTTCGAGACAAGAAGAAGATCTTAGGCAACTTGTGTGTTATCAGATATTCACGCAAATACTCAAGTACTTTATCGCCGCTGTCACAAATCTAAACGCGCTTCTATAATACATTCGAAATAATGACAAGTGACATTTTTAAATGGCAGCGTTCCTTTCCTGAATACCACTATGTCCGTGATACGAGTGAACGATGAAAATGAATCGACCAAGAGGCGACAGAGGAAATGTACAAATACAGCTATGCATATGTAGACACAGGTACATGCACAGGACGACGTGCTGATTGGTGGGAGAAATATCGCGATGCGATTGAAATTCGTAAAGTAAAGAGGAAAGAGGAAAGAGGAAAGAGGAAATGTCAATGATTGTGAGTAAAAGTGGACGGTTGCCGGTCGGCCTGGTTGCTATTCGTGGCGGAGCTGGCTCGTTCCGTCGTCTTGTCTTTCGGCCGATCTGTCGCCTCGACGACGACCGCCGCCGTTTCTTCCTCCCTTTCCACATCCACGTAATAAACGTACCTTGCCGCGTAACAGAGCAACAGCATCTCGATTAGCATCAGCACATTGTAGGTAACTGAAATCCGAGAAAACAGAAGAAAAACTGCTGGTTTCTTCATTCAGTTTTCTAGCCTCGTGCCTTTTCATCCTGCTCGCACGATGATATCGCATCGTTCAAATTCTCAATTCGTATTTCACGGCGTTCCACGTTCTTCGAGTTTCCAACATCGTTGAACTCGCGATCCTTTCTTCCCTTTTTTTTTTTTTTTTTTTTTTTTTTTTTTTAAC